TGCAGTAAGATCCACCCAATACTCAAGTAGTCACTATACGAAAAGTTTTCATAAGTACCCTTCGCGCCATGTTGACCAGTCTACCCTGACATAATACTCGATCAACCCAACGTTTACTCGATATTCGATTGACGCCCGGATTCCCAGTAGAATACAGGGTGCCAGTAGCACGTCGCCATTCCACTCTGCTCTCTGCAGCCTTTTCAACCTGGCTCCACGGCAGCCCAGAAGCTGTCATCTCTTTCTCACACTATCTCTTCCATGTCACCCTCACCTCAGACATACAACTCGTCGTTTCCCATCTGGGTTCCACTCGACGGCCTGGACTGGCGCGTGTTGTCCCCGAATGGTCTTCTCAGTGTATGCCCAATCCATCTCCACCTCCTTCTGCGATGGGTTCTTAGTTGGTTCGTTGTCAAGCCAGAGTTCCTTGTAGCTTATTCTTTCTGGCCTTCTGATCTTCACTATTGAGTGAGCGAAGGTGACAGCTGTTGATGAATGTCTATAGTTTATTGGAAACGATTTTCGTGGCGCGCCATGTCTCTAAACCATCACACAAAAGCACTGACTTGATTGAATTAGTGTTGAAAATTCAGATCTTGTTGTTTATGCCGATTGCATAAGATCTCCACTCTGGTTTCAGATTAATGAAGGTCTGTCTTGCTTTCCCGATACTGGCTTTCATGTCTTCATCTGTGCCACGTGTAGTTGGAACGATGCTGCTTAAGTAGGTGAACGAGACTAATTCCTTTAGGTTTGTCCCGTTGATGGTGATTGGTGCTTGTTGTTGTTGTTGTTGTTGTTTGGGTATCTTAATCACCTCTGTCTTCACTATGTCCACCTAAAAGAAGTCCCGTCTTCGCTGCCTCGCCTCTTCCGTTGACTTGTTGGTTTCTGCCTGTGGATCTTCGAGTTCGTGCGACATTAGAGATAAATCATTGGCGAAGTCCAAATCCTCTAGGGTCTTTTCGTCGATCCAGCGAATGCCCCTCTTCTTCCCCATCACAGTTTGTTGCATGGTCTAATCCAGTCGACAATAGTCAGAAAGATCACCGGTTATAGCAGTCCACTTCGCCTTACTCTTGCCTCCACTTCCAAGGCGTCACTGAGCTTTCCTGTGTGAATCACTTGGCATGTAGCATCATGAAGCATATAGCTGTTGAGTGAGGTTGATAAAGGTTTGTGGCACTGAAACTGTGGTATTGAAGGAGTTTCCAAATGACTTTTTGGTAGACGCCGTTGAAGGCTTTTTTCAAGTCAATGAAGTTGAGAGTTGACTGCCATTCAACGCTCCGTTTTATGATGATGTGTAGCGCAGCGTTGCAATTTGATCCACATATGATTTGTTCTCTCTGAAGCCAGCCAGCCCGCTACAGTTATAACTTCGGATCCAACGCATCTTTCGGTTTCTCTGGGATGATGTGGCCTAATATTCTGCTTGGGGTGGACAGGGACAGGAGCAGGGTTCTGCGCCAGCTCTTGCAAAGACTTAGGTCATCCTTCATTGGTAGTTTGACAAGCCAGCCCTTCTTCCACTCGTCAGGTACCTTTCCTTCTTTCCGAACCTTTCGTAGCAGCATATCCGCTGTTGTCTCTGCGTTGGTTTTCAGTGCTTCTGGTGGAATTCCTCCTGGTCCTGCTGCCTTCCTGGATTTCAGCTGCTTTATGGCTTTCAGGCTCCTCTCGGCTTTTGTCGGGGGGATCGTGTTAACTCGTTGTTCCTCGGTCGCTAGTTATATTTTTGGACGGGTTGCGGGTGTTGATGGTGGTCGATTCGAGAGTTTTATGAAGTAGTCAGCACATCGTTTCCCTTGTTTCTCCTCTCTGCCAACCAGGTTTCCTTCACCATCTTTCATGTCTTGCTTGCGCGCAAACTTCTCCACCGTCGAATTCTCTCAGTTGTGGAACAGGCTTCTAGCTTAATTGAAGGCCCTCAAATCAACCTCTGCACTTTGTCGGTTACTGGCTAACTTCTTATCATCTGTTGACTCTTCCGGCTTATTGAATTCATCAACGGTCTCCTTCACGACATTTCGTATACTCGACCTTCCTAATGTATAATGAGACAGCCACCACACCTACACTGACCTTTCATATGAAGCGTTGGGGAGACGTCCATCAGTTATCACCTTAAGCAAACGCCACACTCTGCCCCACCCAGCACAGTAATCAAAACAGAAATTCTACACTACATGACAGCATGGAATTTATATTTCTAAGTACTCTACAGAAAAAGCACATACAATGAACGCCATAGCAAAGAAAGTTAAGTAGGGAGAAACATGAACATAGAAAACACTCTCCTTGTTGAAATTCTCTGCCTGCTGCTTTGTCTGCTTTTTCCCCGACGTAGAAAAGTAATTCAGTTCTGAACGTTGGCTTGGTTGACATCGAGAATTAATTACTTAGGGAACAGACCATGGCTGAAACTACCCTTCACGGAGGGTAACCAGTTTTACCACGTCCAGAACACCTAACTACAGCAAGCAGAAATAAGAAACGTTCACTGGAATACAACTTCACAATCATCAAAATCTAGGATTTACTCATTATAAAAGTGACCGGCAAAGTCCAACGCTTACCAACTGCAAGGCTGTCACGACCCATGAGAACAGCGGACGAGATGTCCTGGGAGTCCATTTGACGCACTCAAACAAGCCTATTGCTTCTGGATGCTGGAGCTGGAAAAGTGAAGATATTTGGCTTTCAGTCATAATATTCATCGAGATTATGAATCTTTGTCGTGGAATGGTATTAACGTGCATGAATTATACAGTCCTGGAACCATCGATGAAGTACAATACATGAACAATTCGTGCATACACTCCTTCATAAACTTTTCATCATCATCTCAAGCAAAAAGTACAAACTGTTAAAACGGAAGCATTAGCTCCAAGCTTTGTTTCTCTTCAGGTAATACCTGTAATGTCTAGATACAAACCCGGATTTTTTGTTGATGCGAAGACAATGCTTCCGTTTGTCCAACTTGTAAATTTTCTGCATACTTATTCTGCCGGGATGTTCCATTATATGGACATCAGCACTTATATGTTCCGGTGACAACGGGTGGGGATTGAGGCTAACTTCCACGAAGATACACGTATTTTATATATGAAGTTATTCACACCTGTAAAAATGGTGTGTGCCTGTACATTCAGGAATAAATATCGTCATTATTATTATTGTTATTACTATCTTCATCTGTGTTGATCTCTTTCCTCCCAGATAGAAACCTGGTTATTTGATGCAAGTAATGTTGTCAGCTCTCTCTTACTCTCCGACCTACAGCCCGTTTCGCTTCACCTGCTGGTGCGTCGTAGAAGTATATTTTGTCTTTGCGCGCACTCTTCTTCACTTCTCTGCCAGCATAGTTTTTTATGGGTTTTGTTCAGTTCCTCTTCCCGCTGTGCGTCCTTGCACTGGTTGATCTTCTGCTTCACCACCGCCACGTTCCTCTCACCCCTCTATCAGCTTTCATGCGTCCTTCTAGATTCATTCCTCGTCTTCTTTCTTCTTCCTTCCTAATACGGTTATGCAGGTTTCTTTCCATGTAGCTTTTAAAGGGTTCTAGTGTTCTTCCAAGCAGGTTTCTTCAGGGTCGTTGCCCGGTATCTCCCATTTCGTCTTGATAGCTGACGTGGAGATGTCCTTAATAGGTTCGCTCTTCGGTTTTCGGGTGTTGAACTTGAACTGTGGTCTATAACCAACTTCTTTGAATGTTGCCAACTTTGTCGTGTCAAGTAGACCGTATCTCCACTGTATTCAGGCTGAGATGAGATCAGTCTGACTTTTAGTGCCTCCATCTGGTGAAACCTATGTTTCTGTCCTGCGAATATCTTTCTGTTTGTACACACAGCCTTCAACCACTAAATCGCCGAATGCACAGAACTCTGCAAACAGTTCTATGTTCTCGTTCATCTCACAAGTGCCCCTCGATTCATGATTGGTCCTCTTCCTGTGTTGTCGCTCACGGTCTGGCATTCATGTCACTCATTAGAATGAAGTTTGATGCCGCCAACTGAGGTCTTGTTCAGCACTGATTGCAGTTGTCCGTAGAATTCCTCCTTCTTCGCTGGACCCACATTATTTATGGGTGCATAGCATCGGATGATTGTGACCTTCCTTCCTTTTGAGTTGAATGTTGTTGCCATGATCCCGGGGGGAGATTGTATCCCATTGCATGACAGTCTTCGACGCTCTTGGGGACATCATGATAACCACTCCACAACTCAGTGTGCTGTGCTTATGGTTGTCGTTTGGGTGACAATATCGGAGTGGATTACTGACTCTCCAGTTGACAGTTTGGAGAGTCCACTTGCATGCCCTCTGCAGATTCCTCGCAGATTACTAGCGTTTCTATGCTATATCTCCTCATCTCTTTTGCAATCTGAGCAGCCTTTCCAGCCAGCCTTAAACACTTTGAGGACATTTCATGTCCCCATTCTTAATTTCGCTTTCATCGAGGGGAGAGAAGACACATCGGCCATCTAGCCCCCAGAGGGCTTTCGACAACTGGCATCGTTTAGTCTCTTCCACTCCAGCAAGAAATAAGTTCAATTTTACTTTTTATCTTTTCTGTGTGCCTTGGATTTTCTCTAGCGATTAGATTGGTTTTACGGTGTAAGGTTGCTAGGCCTATGCCCAACCTTCCCTCTTTATCCGGGCTTGAGACCAGCAAACTGGGAAAACAGGAGTTGAAAAAAGGTGTTTGGCCCCTCCGGAAGCTCTCATTGCCTTCCAGAAAGATTGACTTGAAATTTGCAGGAGAAAACCTTCAGACAGATAATCGCTACCTCTAAGGCTGCATGCAGGCAAGCGGTGAAGACTTCTGCGGCCACCAAAGTGATGTAACCAGACAAAGAGAATTCAGCCCTAAGATTCAGGAGCGACAGGATAAAAATTTCAAAGTTCCTCTACGTGTACTATTAATTTAGTGTTGGAAGTTTGCAGTTTGAAGTCAAAGACTAAACCCCAAAGCGCGCTGGGTTTAACAATTTGCGATGCGGAGATGTAACCTAGAATATGTTTATATTAGGTTAACAGAAAGTCTCCTGTGTTCTTTAGAGAATACTAAGAAAGACGTAATTAAACCTAACTGTATGCATATTGATTCTAGGGTGGTAAAGTAACTTTAGTCTGTGAGAAGGAGCGAAATCCGGTATGTTTTCATAAATAATTATGCTTTTATAAAAATATTTTATTGATGCAGGTTTAATATAATTCACACCATGATTGTTTTGAGTATCTCCAATATTTTGTTCCTATCAGGGACATGTTTCCGACAGAACTCCATATAAATCGGTCCACATTATATACAGTATATTATTATTTGTCGCTTGGGTTCCTAACGGAACATAGAGCTTCAGTAGCACGTCGCCATTCCACTCTTCTCTCTGCAGCCTTTTCAACCTGGCTCCACGGCAGCCCAGAAGCTGTCATCTCTTTCTCACACTATCTCTTCCATGTCACCCTCACCTCAGACATACAACTCGTCGTTTCCCATCTGGGTTCCACTCGACGGCCTGGACTGGCGCGTGTTGTCCCCGAATGGTCTTCTCAGTGTATGCCCAATCCATCTCCACCTCCTTCTGCGATGGGTTCTTAGTTGGTTCGTTGTCAAGCCAGAGTTCCTTGTAGCTTATTCTTTCTGGCCTTCTGATCTTCACTATTGAGTGAGCGAAGGTGACAGCTGTTGATGAATGTCTATAGTTTATTGGAAACGATTTTCGTGGCGCGCCATGTCTCTAAACCATCACACAAAAGCACTGACTTGATTGAATTAGTGTTGAAAATTCAGATCTTGTTGTTTATGCCGATTGCATAAGATCTCCACTCTGGTTTCAGATTAATGAAGGTCTGTCTTGCTTTCCCGATACTGGCTTTCATGTCTTCATCTGTGCCACGTGTAGTTGGAACGATGCTGCTTAAGTAGGTGAACGAGACTAATTCCTTTAGGTTTGTCCCGTTGATGGTGATTGGTGCTTGTTGTTGTTGTTGTTGTTGTTGTTGTTGTTGTTGTTGTTTGGGTATCTTAATCACCTCTGTCTTCACTATGTCCACCTAAAAGAAGTCCCGTCTTCGCTGCCTCGCCTCTTCCGTTGACTTGTTGGTTTCTGCCTGTGGATCTTCGAGTTCGTGCGACATTAGAGATAAATCATTGGCGAAGTCCAAATCCTCTAGGGTCTTTTCGTCGATCCAGCGAATGCCCCTCTTCTTCCCCATCACAGTTTGTTGCATGGTCTAATCCAGTTGACCACAGTCAGGAAAGCAGTGCTTTAAGATTTCTCCATCTGCGAAGCACACAGCCAGTGGGAGTTGTGTCTTTCGCTTTTTGGCCATGTGTAATGTTGGTAACAGTATTTCTCCTTACGGGTGGGAAATAATTGCTTATCGTTTACATTTACAAGAGTTCATCTCGATTTACTAGAGTTCACGAAGCAAAGTTAAGCGTGACGACTATAACTTTAAAGTTAGTATTAGGTTGAAATGTTTAACTTTGAAAGGGCGAGACTTAAAAGCTAGGTTATGGGGAAGCAAGCAAAATTCTATAGTTTCACTCCTGTGCAACCAATTACTGCAGGGTTTTCCATTTGGATGGGTTGTACGTTAAACAAAACGTAAAAATAAAACAATCAGTGAGTTGTGTGAATTGAGTGGCCTGTTTAAAAATAATCCTATTATGATTATCAAGGTGTTCCTACCCGTCTTATCAAAAACGGTGTTTCAAACTATTGTTTCACGGCCGTAGGATTATTAAAAAAGACGACAGAGGAGCTATCTTCATTAGTCATTCCGTTGGAGATCATTAGGTTCATGATCAGAAATCTAGTTGCCTTGAGGAATCGTTATGGTGTTCATTGAAACTAAGTTTGCAAGGTACCTAGTGGCTGTGACTTGTGGAAAGGCATCTGAAGGCTATCAACATGGCGGTCGTATGTTATATGCGATTGAAATGTATCTTGATTCTGGGGTTTTAATCTTCCTACAGTTAACTTTTTATATTCCACATATAGTGGGAAAGTTCGTTTTTCTGAGGCTGTATTATTTCAACTTATTAAAAACTAAACTCATTTCAAAATGTCCAGACAATGACTCGATGGAAAAATAGTCAAACTGCTTGCCTGCATTGCATCATAAAATTACAGCTTCCTGGTGGATAACCTTACAGTCTTTTTTTGTCACCAAGAGTGGTGTGAATGCTATTTGGTTCGTTGGTCTATAAAACAGAACTGATTACACCTCGATTAATCTCACCAGAACTTCAGATGACTTGATATTGTAGTTCTGGTCCAGATCAATTGGAAGTCTGACTGCGCTTATTAGGATACAAACTCACTGAAGATTCATATTGACAAAATAATGTTTGCCATCAGCCACTACGTTGATTACATCTTCAAAGTTTCAGGCAGCCTAAAGAAGTATGTAATAAATCTTAAGCTCCTGAAGGTGAAATTACATGGCTGAACTGAGCATCGGAAAAACACTTTTAAGTTTACTTATAAACATTCGAAGCAAACGAGAAATATTTGTAATAAATCTTTAAAAAGAGTCAACGTTAGCACCAACCGTGTCTAATGCATCTTATCCAATCTAGAAATTGTTTTTCGCTATGCGACGTTCCGAAAGTTAACGACAACCGTTTGTAGCCTGTTGGACTAGCAGTAACTTTAATGCGCTTGAATTTTCGGTTGGTCATCATCAATTAAATCTGCTAATATGTCCCACTTAAAATACACAGCTATCAACTGTCGATCTTGATGCTGTTAAAAAAAGTGTTCAGTTTTTAACAAAACCCATCCCACTTCGGAAATGAATCTCACTTGCTGAACATTTGAGCAGATTTTTCTTTTCCTTGACCATATTGGTAAGCTACGAATGATGTTGACTCCATTTTTGGCGTTGGTGTGACATCTAATTGCCTACTAAAAGTCGAGTGTACCGTGTATACAGCAGTTTGCTCTGCCTTATTATATGTCTGAAACGTGACCACCAAAGTTGGAGGACGTGTGAAAGCTTCAAGTGCCCTGTCACCGTTGCCTTCGAAGCACTGGTCGTTTGTCATGAAACCTCTGCGTCAGTATCCTGGAAGTCACGTGTGGATTACTAGGTAAAAGAGATTAGCCAGTGTATGAGATTGTAAAACTTCAGTGTCTGGGAAATGTTATGCATGACTAATCACATTCTACGCCATCATACAATATTAACTGAATTAAGTTTAGGCTGGATAAAGGTCACTGGCGACTAGACTAAAATGTGGCATCAGTCTGTGGATTTTTTGACTGCTGGGCTAAGCCATGTTGGAAAATCTAGACTTCTCAGTTGGGTTCTAGGTAACAACTGAGCTCGGCGGATGAAGATTGCATGTGATATGGCTCAAAATCGATCTCAGTGACTCGGGTGCATGCTCATACTGCCTTCGTCATCATCATCAATATCAACATAGGACTAGGCATTACTGTTTAACGGTGCAAGTTGCCACAGCTCATATCAGTACATCAAGTAAAAAGGCAGCGTAGTGCACGATGAAGATAAGAAAGTTCAGCCAAAAGAAACATAAAGCACGAAAAGAGAGAAAGGAAGAGTGAGAAAATGGTGGGATTCGGTATAGCGTCGATAAGATGAGGATAATGGGTGTATACATCTGCGCCACCGACATCGGTTCTGAGCCATATCACATAGAGTCTCAACCACTGGTTCTTCTTGTCCCGCCGACCCCAACCACCTAGTCTGCATCGCCCCACATGGCTCAAGGCAATAGTCAGAGACTTCATATATTAGTGCCATGTTTTAGTCTGGCCACCTCGGGCCACCTTCCAGCCTGGGCCTACTTCGGCCAACATTGTGAGACGAGGCAGATGGCAGCTAGGCATGCGTAACACGTGTCCTAACCATCGCATAACCTCGTCAACTGCTTTACCTTTTCTCCCTAAAACTCTACACCTGACTTCTGCGTTACTCACGTGGTGACACCAAGGAATACGGCCTATACTACGAAGGCAACGGTGGTCAAACACCTGAAGCCTTCTCATATCTTCCACCTTCAATCGCCATGTTTCACAGCCATACAGTAGAATACACCGGACTGCTGTGCAGGTGCAGTACACACCACCCTTAATAGACAATCGGATATCACGGCGGCACCATAGGTGGCGTAAGGTGGTAAAAACCAACCGAGCCGTTTGTATCCGTTCAGAGATTTCATCGGCCACTGAGCCACCAGGGTAGGACTGATCCTACTTCCCAGGTAAGTAGTGAAGTGGTCGACACACTCAATCACTACACTCTCTGTTGTTAGCCGTGGCACCCTTAAAGACCAACCCTGGAGCAACAATTTGCATTTGGCTGGTGAGAACCGCATCCCAAACATTCTCAAATTCCCACTCAAAGTGTTTAGAAGACTCTGAATCTTGTCAGCGTCTTCACCTAACAGGACTGACTATGTCGCCTGCATATTCTAGGTCTAATGAAAATTCTCCTGTGATTAGGTCAACCTCAGTGTAATCAGGTGACAAGAGGGAGACCTCCATAAAAATATCTATGATAAGACTGAATAGGAATGGAGACAGTGGGCACCGTTGACGGACACCACTCGATGAGCACAGCTCCCTGGACATCTCACCGTAGGCTCTAACACGTCCACAAGTGTTCGAGTAGAGAGCCTTCAATAAGGTGATGTACTTACTGCGCACGCCTTTCAGTGAGAGATATTGCTATAGGACTTCTCAATCAACGGAGTCGAATGCCGCCTTCAGCTCAAGAAATACAGCTATCGTCGGGCGTTGGTAAGCGTGTCTGAATTTCAAAACCTGGTGCAGTGTGAATATTTGGTCGATACACCCGCGGCCGAGTCTAAAGCCTACCTGCCTGGTTTTCTCCGGCTTGTTGTTCCCGAGCTCCACTTAGGCGTCTAATGATTATAGAACGTAGGATCTTAGACACTGTGTTCATCAGGCTGGTTCCTCTGTGGTTATCACAAATTGACTTCTGGCCTTTCTTGATGACTGGGATAATCAGTCATTTAGACCAGTCAAGAAAGGCGAGAAGTCCTCTTGTGATAACCACAGAGGAATCAGCCTGACAAACATAGTGTCTAAGATCCTAAGTTCTATAATTCTCCGACGCCTGAGTGGAGCTCGGGAACAGCAAGCCCGAGAAAACCAGGCAGGCTTTAGACCTGGCCGTGGATGTATCGACCAAATATTCACACTGCGCCAGGTCCTGGAACATAGGCATGCTTACAGACGCCCGACAATAGCTGTATTTCTCGACCTGAAGGCGGCATTTGACTCCGTTGATCGAGAAGTCTTATGGCAGTGTCTGTCACTGAAAGGCGTGCCTAGTAAGTACATCACCTTATTGAAAGCTCTCTACTCGAACACTTGTGGGCATGTTAGAGCCTATGGTGAGTTGTCCAGGGAGCTATACTCATCAAGTGGTGTCCGTCAAGGATGCCCACTATCCCCATTCTTATTTAATTTTATCATAGATATTCTTATGGAGGTTTCCCTCTCGTCACCTAATTACAAAGACGTTGACCGGATCACAGGTGAATTTTCCTTAGATCTAGAATATGCAGATGACATAGTCCTGTTAGGTGAAGACGCTGACAAGATGCAGAGTCTTCTGAACACTTTGAGTGGGAATTTGAGAATGTTTGGGATGCGATTTTCACCACCCAAATGCAAATTTTTGCTCCAGGACTGGTCTTCAGCGGTACCGCGGTTAACAATAGAGAGTGAAGTGGTTGAGTGTGTTGACCACTTCACTTACCTGGGAAGTAGGATCAACCCGGTGGGTTAGTTGCCGATGAGATTTCTGCACGGATACAAAAGGCTCGATTGGCTTTTGCCAATTTGCGCCACCTATGGCGCCGCCGTGATATTCGTTTGTCTATTAAGGGTCGCGTGTACTGCACAGCAGTCCGCTCTGTTCTACTGTATGGCTGTGAAACATGGCCATTGAAAGTGGAAGACATGAGAAGGTTACAGGTATTTGACCACCGTTGCCTTCGTAGTATAGGACGTATTCCGTGGTGTCACCATGTGAGTAATGCAGAAGTTAGGTGTAGAGTTTTAGGGAGAAGAGGTAAGTCAGTCGACGAGGTTGTGAACCTTCATCGACTGAGATGGTTGGGACACGTACTACGTATGCCTAGTCACCGATTGCCTCGTCACACAATGTTGGCTGAGGTGGGTTCAGGCTGGAAAAAGGCCCGAGGTGGCCAGACTAAAACATGGCACCAATGTATGAAGTCTCTGACTGTTGGTTTAAGCCATGTAGGACGATGCAGACTAGGTGGTTGGGGTCCACGGGACAAGAGGAACCAGTGGTTGGAGACCCTAGGTGATATGGCTCAGAACCGAAGTCAGTGGCGCAGATGTATACACACATTATCCTCATCTTAACAACGCTATACCGAATCTCACTATTTTGTCACTCCTCTTTCCTTTCTTCTCGTACTTTATATTTCTTTTGACTGCATTCACTTATCTTCATCCTTCACCTCACTACCTTTTACTTGATGTGCTGATATGAGGTGTGGCAACTCGGACCGTTACGCAGTAATGCCTGGTCCTATGTTGATAATGATGATGATGATGATGACCAGTCAGAGGGGATCGTATTTGATTCCCATATACTGGTTAACACACATCCGTCCTTTTTCGCTATAGCCTCACTAACTGCTGTTGAACTTCCCCCCCCCCCCCGCCAGTTTCTTCAATAAGTCTACTGTCTACTGTTACCAATCGTCGCTGCCTTTTCCATCTCTTCAGCCTTCGCTGCCCACCACTGTTTGCGGTCGTTACGTAGACTGTTTCTCAACCTACTTTTAAGTTGCCCTCGCTCTTCATTGTACTCAGAGTCTGCAGAGATGCGTTCGAGTGCATCTATTAGTTTGGAAGAAGCTGTTGATATCCACTGGCTCTTTTTAGCCACTATTTCGGAGTCGGCTACTGTCTTCAGCGCTGCTTTTACAGTAGACTGGAGATGGCACCAAGCTTCTTGTGGATTAGTCATAGTCTTCTGTTCCGATAACTGCCTAGCCAACTTCTAACTGAACATGGCTTTGGTGTTTACGTTGTCCAGAAGCACTCGTAGTGGTTTTGTTGCCAAATTTTTCTTACGTCCATTGAGACGCAGGCATAAACGCGCTCGGACCAACGCGTGGTCTTTATCCAAACATGTATTCTAGAAGGAGCGGTAGTCTTCCACTGATCCTCTTCAGCGATGACTAATAGCAATGCTGTCTATCTGTGTCCATCTCTGAGTTGAGCTTGGTTGACGTCACGTTAGACAGTGCCTTTCTTTATGTCTGGAATTGGTGCTGGCTAAAAATAGGCGGTTATCTCAGCATAGTTGTAGTAGGCGACCACCGTTATTTGTACGTTCAGCCGGGACTCCGAAAGTGCCACCTAAGCGCCTTTCTGCTTCACTCAGTCTACCCACGTGTGCACTGAAGTCACCTGCAACAACCACCGCGTCTGATCGTTTGGCTTTCGAGAGGAGGTTAGACAGTTTACGGTAGAACTCGTCCTTCACTTCATCCGAGCTGCAGTCAGTGGGTGCGTAAGCAGAGATTACAAAGAGACAACGGATAGTTTCACTATTTCTTTTAGTTCTCACTGTGCCTTTCTGTCGGATAGCGCAGAAGCGACTATCCAGTTTATTAGTGATTTTTCTGCCCTAGTGCTTTATGCTGTGCCTACACCTGCAAGACCATGAGATGTAGCCATCGAATCTCCAGAAACTCGAAGGGTGAGTTTTGTAAATTAACCAGACTGGTTGAGAGAGGTCAAGTGAGTAACCGCACTTGGGTCCTGTATGCATGTCTCACAAACACGTCCATGGCCCGAGTTGCAAGGGTCTTTTTCAACGAGGCCTGTTAACCAATTTGACGGAGGGTGCGGACATTAAAGGCTCCAGTATGTAATTTGGAGCTTGGTTTAAGGAGACCAGTGATGCTGTTCTGTGGACTCAGATCGTTGTCAAAGGCTGCAGAACTAGGAGAAATTAAAGATGTAGTATCGTTAGTTGAGAGACGTGAAGGAAGATTAGAAGGTAATGATGGGGAAGATGGATAGCAGTCTGGGGAAACTTGAGTGCTGGCAGAGTTGTGAGGGCGGTTGACACATTCCGGCTGCCCACACCGTGCCTGAAAGAGATTTGTGTGACCACAGAGCCCATCGGACATCTGTTTGTCTTCCAGTCTCGTGACTTTACTACTTTTAATTACATTCTCCTTTATTCCTGTGTCTTTCATCTCGCAACCTTGTCTCGTGATGTGAGGGTGTGAAGTGTGGTAACTTAAGGAGTTCCTCAGTAATGCCAGGTCTGATGTTAATATTGATTGACTGAATTCTATGTTTGACCAGCTCACCATTATTACTGAACCACATTAGGTGCAGATGCAGCGTGGTTGATAGATATTTTTGAGGTAATTGAGTTGCCTGTATTTACTTATTGTATTATCTATATTAAATACGTAAGTTTGTATGATTCAACTTTATTGATGAGCAGTCATTTCAGCATTCTAAAGTTTGTTTCCGTTATTGTGTTTTATTTTTATGTCTTGGTTCAATTTTTCCATTCTTCCTTATATGTTTCTATCTAGAAAATTGTCGTGAATATTTCAGGAGTAGAAGCTGTATATGAACTTGAGCCTGATCATAGTTCAACGTATTTTCCACTTATTAATGTGAAGAAATCAGTGTAAGTTTATTTGTCAAATTTAAGTGCTGTTTTAACTACTTGATAAAATCGGTTTGATTGTACGTGGTAATACAGAAAATAATTGATGAAATAATATTGCCTAATTATCCCAGTGTACTACAAAGTGAGAGAAAAATCTTTATTGAGGCCAAATTGGTAGTGTGGTGTAATAGTTTCAAAAATCTCAGGGCAGTTATTTTGAGAAATACATTTTGTTAAATGTTCCTGTGAATTGAGGTCTTGACCGGTAGATACCATAGTGTGTAATTATGTTCCGTGAATGTAAGTACACATTAAGGTTTTGATTGGTGTTGAAGAATTCACCTCCTAACGTAGGTTAATTGTACTCATTGGCTGCTAATTCATTTGTCGTATACTGAATATGGTAAACGAAGTTGGTCAGTGTTCATTTATAAATTATACGTTTATTGTTTTTCAGAGGGAGATTCCTGGGAAATATCCAGTATAGATATAAGACTAAAGCAACTGATGACAGTTTTGTTAGAGTACGTGAAAATCTTCTGGAAGAAGTGGAAAACAGTCGTCAACAAAAGTAAGATTAGTATGATAATAATAATTGTTTTAGAATTAAAGTTCAGGATTATCAGTTGAAATCGGCTTCTTTGATCAAAGATAAACGTAATACAAAAGTTAAAAAGTATGTTGGATATAAATTGGTTTTTCTTGATTTTTGAAGATTTAAAACTTCGAACATTTTCGTGTGGTACACGTTTTCATTGTTTTAAGATATGTATATTATCTGCTACTGAGTATTTTTGTGTTTGTTTATGGTTAAGTTATTGATAGGCTGTCAAAGTATTGCTAAATTTTTATCGTCAAAGTGGTGTTAGACATTATTGTACCGTATCTATCAGTCATTCATTCATGCAATGCAACGGAAAGAACTAATAGCAATCTTGTTTTTTAAGACAGGAAGATCATTATAACGTTGGCAACCAATAATCACTAGTTTAACCGCATAAAGAAGTAAGTAAGTAAGTACAATGAGATATCATCTTGAATAGATACGGGGACTGGAAAAAGAGCTAGATGATAGGAAGCTCAAGTTGATCAGTTTAAGGTGCGATACCAGTTCATATATTCTTCTTAAGCATGCTGAAAATTTTAAATCTCTTAGGTTGAGATTCGTAGCGTCAAATGAAATAAATTTTGGTGACTAGTCGATATGGCGTAACACCGATGATTCCATCCTTTACGTCACTTACTAACAAGTATCTTGAAACGTTTCCTAGTTTCGGGCAAATATTTCCGCTCAAATCTTGAGCTGAAGTGCAAAAATTCGCGGAAACTGTCTAATACATGGAATCAACGCATGGACAATGTCAAGATTTTGCGAAGGGTACTAGGCAAGGTAAGCAATTCAGTCGATGAGGTTGTGAACCTTTAGTGACTGGAGTGGCTTGGACATGTGTTGTGCATCCTGAGCCATTGTCTACCTCGACTTTCAATGTTAGCTGAAGTTCGACTGGGTTGGGTTTTCAAATCCTATTTCCTTACATACTCTTTCGAATACTTTGATATCAGTCTTTTTCTATCCACTTATTCTTTGCATACTACTGCGAAGTGTGGCAACTTAAACCGTTACGCTTGTGTGAGAGGTTCTTCGTTGATTCTGTCTGTCTGTCTGTCTGCCAAAACTAACTTTTGAGAATATCTTTGAGTCATGTCTCTCGATCTCCAATTTATGGGTGTAGACATTTAAGGGCGTTAGTAGCAAGTAACGTAGATTAGCTAAAAGCTCCAGTTTGTGTTTTGCAACAGTGTTCCCTGTTCGTATTCCTTGTGTTAATCCACTTTCTTGCTTCATTCGGTTTCTTCTGTTTTGTCACTACTGTCACCTTTATTACTGTCTTTTTCCGTTTTTGATTTATTTTCATAGTGTCGTTAAAACTCAGAGTGATATGAAACTAGACTACGTCATGAAGTGTTCTTTTCTGTCTGACGTCCGCAAAATATTTGTTGTAGGCCTTAGTATGATGTCATATCCACTTTGTAGACTGATAGGTAATTACTCCATAAAACTTGGTAAATGTGTTATTTGATGCATCATTTTCAAAAGTTTTTAATGACTAGTTAACTTTTCCCGTTAAGGTTTAGCTGTCACTTTTTTGTTCCATATATTATCTGATTTAAACAATGATTTTGGTTAGATATAGCTACTTCAGTTAATGAACAAATGAATTCATAGTTACTGAATGCTTTGTAAAGTTCCCTACTCAAGTGAAACCTATAAAATATGAGTACAGCATTCGTACTTCCTGGTAATTCCTGAGGGCTTCTACGTTGTTACTTGTATTATCCTATTGGTGATTGAACCGAATTGATCAGTCTCTCTAATACAAGCAACAACATAAGGCTATACCCGTCGAACAAGAAGTGGATATCGTGGCTTGGTGGCCTAATAGATGCTCTAACAGTCGAAGCGAATAGTCTCGGGTTCAAGTTTTAGTGGGAACAACATCGCTTATTAGGAGGCAGGCAAATCCGGCTGACGAGTCCTAAACGGGATGGAACACGCGTCCTGAACTTTATTGCTAGCCACTTCTGATCATTAACTACATAAGGACTGTTTCAAATGACCAGGAAGTATGGGTGTTCATCTAAGTCATGCAGCAAAATAAGGGATTTTCGGACAAGGGCTACAGTACAAAGTAGAAATCGATGACTGTAGACTTTCTGTAATATAGTTTAAAATTGGTCTCACTGGTACAGGCTTTGGAAAAGTAGTGAATGAGATAAGTTTACTTTATGCCTAATCAAACAAGAAATTCATAAACACAATGAATTAAGTGCAACTGTTTTTATTTTTCTTCCATGTAGAAATTTAAATCGGAACTCAGTTTCTGGTCCTGCTTTGAAAATGGCGAAGGTTTCCAAAGGTAAACGTGTAAGTTGTTCAAAAGCTTGTAAACATTTGTTTATTTTGCTTGAGTTTTATTTTTGAAACAAAGCTCTACTGCTTTAAAGCAGCGCGAACTCTAAGTACCACCATAGTCCTCGCATGGTTAAGAATCCTACGTGAAATTTCCTATTTGCTCTCTGTATATGAAAACATTGCAGAGGATTCGAATCCCCTTCTTAACATGTTGCAATTGCTATTAATATTATTGCTTCTTCTGTTATACGTCCTTGTGAACTTTTTAATAAGTTCCGGAAGGTAGTATTATTGTCTCTTCAGTGTGTTTCAGTTCCTTATTTAGATTTTCTAACCTGCTAGTTAGACTCCTAGCTCGATTACCTGGACGTGTTACCAAGCCCAGGGTGAGACGATTCAAAATCCAAGTATCGATTCGAATGTGTTAGCTTCCTATAAATACTGGTATCTTCTCTTGACTTTTCAACCTAATGAAAGTAATTCTTGATTTTTTACACTTCATAAGTGAATTGGATTGGATCTACTATCGAGTTTGTGCATGTGGATAGACTCTAGACACGTTCTGATTTCAGTACAGTAAGTGCATCATCTACATATCGCCATTATACTTTTAGTTTCCTAATACCATCTGTTCTCAGCTGTCCATAAGTATGTTTTCTACTATTGGTCTTATTAGGGGAATTCATTGCTAAACCTTTTATTTGTTCATATATTGTCTTGAAATTTGAAAACCGTTGAAGTTAGACATAATCGTGATTTCTTCAATCGAAACATTAGTTCTGTTACTGAGTTTATAGTCAGTGATGAGTTCACTTCTGACCGCTTCAAGTGTCACTTTAAGTGGTATATTTGTCCAGAGGCTCCTCACATCAAATCTAACTATCTTTTTTATCTCCTTTGATCGTATATTATTTAGTGTCCGTTTCAATTTGAAGGAATTGGTGAGCCAAGACTTTGAGCGATTTATCGTAGAACATGATATTACAGCTAAATATTTAGATAACTCATATGCAAGTGTGTTTCTAATATGAGCAGTAAATTGTGCTCGAAATGTCATCCAGTAAATAGTGCTGAATCTCCTCGGGCTATATCAGATAAACAACATAATATGGAATTGCACTTAAGAAAGCATTTCACTAGGTAAAAGACGTTAGACCGATTCACCATTTGTCTGTACAAAAAGATAAAAGCAACACTACCTATTACAGTCACTTATTCATCCAGGGTGTTACTTTTCATTTCAGTAAAGAGAGGGAATATCAACAAAAGGAATTTAATCATTGGTTTTGGTTATCCTAAGGATTTTAACCAGTGTTCATATTTTCGATACATGATTTGAACCAGCTATCTGTTGCTTCATGGATCGGTACCATGTTTTCTGACCACTCTGAACCTTTCAATTCTCTATTGATAGTGGTACGATACCAGGTCGAGTAGCAATGAGACATGCACAATAAGTTACAACCGCCTTGGTTGGTATGTGCTTAGCACCACAGGGTTCGTCACCGTTATAGCTTAAAGTTTCTTACAAGATGCGGTTAGGAGGAATTATTTAACAAAAAGTGGTATGCTTAGTTAAATTAGCGTTATCACTTCGTTAGCAATGAAGATGCGGTTGATCGGTTGTACTTGTAGGCGACTGTCGGTTTGAAACTAGAATCAATATTTTCCTGAATGCGAAGTTCTCCATCCTTGTTTATAGTGAATGTGAAGCTAGATTAAATGTATCGAACCTGCCGAGTAAAAATTTATTTACTGAGCCGTAGACTACATATAGCATGAAGGTTTGTGATTCTAACCGGTAGAGTGCACGCTGAGGTGAATGGAGTAAGGTTTAAGTCTGAAAACCCATAGCTTGGAAGTCTGGTACTTAAACCAATGAACCACAGTGTCACTTACAGCCAGTACTCGAAAATGTGACTTTAGATTCTTAGAAATGTGTATATGAAGTATGCTACAATCTTGTTGCTTCCGCCTATTTCTTCGTATTTTTCATGTTTTGAGCAATCTTTTATATTTGGATACATGTTAGGAATTGGGTGAAGTATGTTGTTTTTGAAACTTCCCCTAACCTATAGGTGCTCATAAATGGAAGGCAATATCAGATAAACATGTGAATAAAATAATTTAAGACGTAGCACTGAAGTTAAATTTTTTAATTACAATTCGCAACAATTCAGAAAAATATGGTCAACAGAAATCGAAAGATATTAGACTAAAAGAGGGCGAAGAAATTAAATTATTAGTATTCAAAATTTTCAGGATCATATAGATTGAATACACTCACATTAATTTAATCGAATTAGAAAAATATGACAGCGTCTTCAGATATTTTTTCCTAACATCTTTGGGACTTCGGCCATTCAACCTATATATGCTTACATAACTCACCAACAGTCATAAATTATGCTTCGGTCTTTTACCGTTGCACGGTCAAGCACCTTAAATATGCTGCATGCTACATTTTGCTTAGAAATATGTCGTGGTTAGGCTTGCAAAACACATATTCGAAGCATCTCAGTTTCTGTAAATCTACAACCTCGAGTAGTTTACTTCCCTTTTCTCGTACTTAAAGACTAAACCTTGTAGTACACACTTTAGCTTTTCCGAGCATGCACAATACTTCTATACTTCACTTTAAGCATCTTTCTAACAGTCACACAGTAGAACATGAAGGACTAATTTTCAATAAACTTGCTTTGTAATAGGTAATCTGGTATATTTTTAGTACTAGAAATCAAACAATTCAGCAAATCGCTGAAGAATATTTCATGTTTATGCATAAATGTCCTCATCAACTATTCCATTAAAAACTGATGTAACTACCAAAGTAAGTGAAGTGGCTAACTTGTCTAATCGCTTTATTCTCTGTGATTAGACGAGATGTCTTCAGAAAATTGTCTTACATGTAGCTGGTGGAAAATACATATCAAGCATAAAAGCCTTTCTAAGACCCTGCATCGACTCATTCATGAGTACGTAATGAATGTTAGCTTGGGGATGTGTAAGATATCATCATTGGTCTACGGTTAAATGAGTAGTAAGAGTGTAGTTTAGACTCTTATTGTGATGATCTTTATCTAAGGTACGTTTTATGTCAAGGCTAGAAATCAAGTAACAGATCCACTTCATTTGCTTTAGTAGGTAGATAGGTTGTTATGAACGAAAAACATGTTAGTTGTGTGAATTGTACTGGTTCTATAAAATAATCCTTACTTGTATAGTCAGCTGAAAAGCATCTCATGAGCTTTTTCTTAGCAGTTAAAAGGGACGGTAATGATCAGATCTTAGTTAGTTGGGTAGCACAGTAGAATAATCACATTAGTTGAAGCACCGGATAATTTAAATTAGAACTGAAAAATCGCTCAGCATACTCGACATTCGCATCAGTATTTGCTTCGTTCAACTAGGTTTTTACACAGAACCTATGTCATTAGAGTTATGAAGGCAGTCAACCGTGCTAGATAATTCCTCAGAATTTTATATATCAAACTCTCAATGTCGTCTACACTCCTAACATATGTCCCAGTCACCAAAGTCGATGAAAGTTTGTAACTTTTTCAGCTGACTTTTCTCTTCTGTCTAAAACTCTACCCATGAGTTCTGCGTTACTGCTTGGCGGAACCACGACACGATCCATGATATGAAGATGACGCCAGCTGAACAACTGAAGCCTTCTGATGTATTCTAGCTTTAATGGTCATGCTTCACAAGCATGTAGTAGAAAAGAGCAAACTGCAGCACGATACACTAGACTCTAATAGACAATTGGATGTCACAGCGACGCCATAAATGGCATAAGTTGTTGAAAACCAGGTATGAGATGAACAAAATCAGATTTTAAGATCACCCTAGCAACTGCTAGGACAATCAATCAGGTTTAAATATTCCACCTGGGAGAGTAGTTTTTCATTAAATGGAGGAACGTAATTGGTTATCTGAACAGTTGCTAGGGTGACCTTTAAAGTCACTTGCGTTGCGATTTGATTGACTGCATATTCTTAAGAGCTAATGAAATGATCAGGACTATGCGGAAAATGACTCAGTGTTACAAAATAAAACTGTAAAACGAGGTTTCACAGATCACAATGTTGCTGTAGACACTAGTTAAAATAGCTGACAATAATGACACGGTATTCTCCGTATCTAACTGTTTATGAGTTGATCAAATTCAAGTTTGAAACTTATGATGGTTTATGGCTAGAAATGCTGTCCAGGATCCGCGTTTCGTCCATCACTCATCACTCACTTAGAGGCTTGGATATTCAGTTGATGAGTCCCAAAGCGGTCCAGTGAACAACGGTAAACTATACCCGTCTCTCAAAAAGTGACAGTCGTGACTCAGTAGCCCAGAGGATAACACTTTGGCGTTTAAAGCGATGGATGCTGAGTTCCAGTCTCAATGGGAACAACATCGCTCACTGGGAGGCAGGCATATCTAGCTGGTGAGTTTTAAAATGGGTGAAATGTGCGTCATAGATTCCACTGCAGGCCAGTGTCCATGACTGGTATTACTATTGCTACCTGCTACCTTGACGTGGTGGTCGGGCTTGCATATCACAATGACCCAACGAGCTATGCTGGTGGAACGCTTGTTCCCTCGAGGTCCTACCATACCAGAAAGGTCTGTTGGGTAGTGGTTAGACGAAAAGCAGTTACCGTTATAGTGTAAATTGCTACACTATGATGGGGGTCTGAGGGCGAAGTCGTACTGCTGCTAGCTGGATGGGGTGTGACAGCAGTAAGGTGTTTCCCTTGGATGACCAGCAGTGCCAAGCTGATGCTGCCTTCTCAGTGGAAGGGGGGGTTAGAAAAGGTCGGCCCCAAAAATAACACACTCCACCACGCCCCACGGTCTGCCGGGCCGGCGGTGTTGGTTCACTTGTCGTTTCCTTTCGACCATCCGGCCCCAAAAATACAAAAATTCAAAATAATCATACTCAAAAGGCTGGGTGTGACAGGCCTCAAGCAGATGTCCGATGGGCTCTGCGGTCACACAAATCTCTTTCAGGTACCTTAAGAAGAAATAGCCTTCCACGGTGTGGGCAGCCGGGAAGTGTCAACCGCCCTCACAACTCTGTCAGCACCCAAGTTTCTTCTGACTGCTATCCTCCTCCTCCATCATTACCTTCTAATCTTCCTTCACGTCTCTTAATTAATGATGCTGCATCATCTTCAATTTCTCCTACCTCTGCAGCCTTCGACAACGATCTGAGTCCACAGAACAGCATCCCTGGTCTCCTTAAACCACGCTCCAAATTACATATTGGAGCCTTCAATGTCCGCACCCTCCGTCAAATTGGCCAACAGGCTTCGTTGGCAAAGACTCTAGCAACTCGGGCATGGATGTGTGCTGTGTTTGTGAGACACGCATACAGGACCCAAGTGTGGTTATTCACCTGACCTCTCCTGACCAATCTGGTGAATCTGCAAAATTCACCCTTCGAGTTTCTGGAGATTCGATAGCTAGCTCTCGTGGTCTTGCAGGTGTAGGTATAGCATTAAGCACCAGGGCAGAAAACTCACTACTAGACTGGATCCCAGTTGATAGTCGCCTCTGCGCTATGAGGCTGAACGGCACAGTGAGAACTAAAAGGAATAGTGAGACTCGCCGTTGTCTCTTTGTAATCTCTGCTTACGCACCCACTGACTGTAGTTCGGATGAAGTGAAGGACGAGTTCTACCATAAACTGTCTAACCTCCTCTCGAAAGCCAAACGTTCGGACGTAGTGGTTGTTGCAGGTGACCTCAACGCACAGGTGGGTAGACTGAGTGAGGCAGAAAGGCACTTAGGTGGCACTTTCGGAATCCCAGCTGAACGTACAGATAACGGTGATCGCCTATTACAACTATGCTCAGATAACCGCCTATTTTTAGCCAGCACAAATTTCAGACATAAAGAAAGGCACTGTCTGACCTGGCGTCCACCGAGCTCGACTCAGCGATGGACACAGATAGACCACATTGCTATTAGTCATCGCTGGAGAGGATCGGTGGAAGACTGCCGCTCCTTCTGGAGTACGTGTTTGGACAGCGATCATGCGTTGGTCCGAGCACGTATATGCCTGCGTCTCAATGGACGTAGAAAAAATTTGGCAACAAAACCACTACGAGTTCTGCTGGACAACGAAAACACCAAAGCCGTGTTCAGTGAGAAGTTGGCTAGGCAGTTATCGGAACAAAAGACTGTCACTCATCCAGAAGAAGCTTGGTGCCATCTTCAGTCTACTGTAAAAGCAGCACTGGAGACTGTAGCCGACTCCAAGATAATGGCTAAAAAGAGCCAGTGGATATCAGCAGCTTCTTCCAAACTAATGGATGCACGTGAATGCATCCCTGCAGGCTCTGAGTACAATGAAGAGCGAGCGCAACTTAAAAATAAACTGACGAAAAGTCTGCGCAACGATCGTGAACAGTGGTGGGCAGCAAAGGCTAAAGAGATGGAAAAGGCAGCGGCGATCGGTAACAGTAGACAGTTATTTAGACTTATTAAGGAGACTGGGGGGAAATGGTCAACAACAGTTAGTGAGGTTATAGCGGAGAAGGACGGATCGGCGATTCACTCGCAGGGAAGGCGACTGGGACGATGGGCAGAACACTTTGAGGAACAGTTTAACTGGCCTCCAGCCACCATTGCGCTGCCCGCTATCCAGTCGGACCCTGAATGGGACATAGAGACAGGTCCCCCAACACTAGAAGAAGTTGAGAAAGCGGTAGGTAGCCTGAAACGGGGAAGGGCAGCAGGACCAGACGGACTACCTGCTGAGGTATACAAGAATGGTGGTAGAGTTCTCTTAGTCAGGCTAACGGAAGTGTTAGCCAGTATATGGGAATCAAATACGATCCCCTCCGACTGGTCTAAGTCACTCATCATCCCAGTCTTCAAGAAAGGCGAGAAGTCCTCTTGTGATAACCACAGAGGAATCAGCCTGACAAACATAGTGTCTAAGATCCTAAGTTCTATAATTCTCCGACGCCTGAGTGGAGCTCGGGAACAGCAAGCCCGAGAAAACCAGGCAGGCTTTAGACCTGGCCGTGGATGTATCGACCAAATATTCACACTGCGCCAGGTCCTGGAACATAGGCATGCTTACAGACGCCCGACAATAGCTGTATTTCTCGACCTGAAGGCGGCATTTGACTCCGTTGATCGAGAAGTCTTATGGCAGTGTCTGTCACTGAAAGGCGTGCCTAGTAAGTACATCACCTTATTGAAAGCTCTCTACTCGAACACTTGTGGGCATGTTAGAGCCTATGGTGAGTTGTCCAGGGAGCTATACTCATCAAGTGGTGTCCGTCAAGGATGCCCACTATCCCCATTCTTATTTAATTTTATCATAGATATTCTTATGGAGGTTTCCCTCTCGTCACCTAATTACAAAGACGTTGACCCGATCACAGGTGAATTTTCCTTAGATCTAGAATATGCAGATGACATAGTCCTGTTAGGTGAAGACGCTGACAAGATGCAGAGTCTTCTGAACACTTTGAGTGGGAATTTGAGAATGTTTGGGATGCGATTTTCACCACCCAAATGCAAATTTTTGCTCCAGGACTGGTCTTCAGCGGTACCGCGGTTAACAATAGAGAGTGAAGTGGTTGAGTGTGTTGACCACTTCACTTACCTGGGAAGTAGGATCAACTCCGGTGGGTTAGTTGCCGATGAGATTTCTGCACGGATACAAAAGGCTCGATTGGCTTTTGCCAATTTGCGCCACCTATGGCGCCGCCGTGATATTCGTTTGTCTATTAAGGGTCGCGTGTACTGCACAGCAGTCCGCTCTGTTCTACTGTATGGCTGTGAAACATGGCCATTGAAAGTGGAAGAGACAAAAAGGGTTCAGGTGTTTGACCACCGTTGCCTTCGTAGTATAGGACGTATTCCGTGGTGTCACCATGTGAGTAATGCAGAAGTTAGGTGTAGAGTTTTAGGGAGAAGAGGTAAGTCAGTCGACGAGGTTGTGAACCTTCATCGACTGAGATGGTTGGGACACGTACTACGTATGCCTAGTCACCGATTGCCTCGTCACACAATGTTGGCTGAGGTGGGTTCAGGCTGGAAAAAGGCCCGAGGTGGCCAGACTAAAACATGGCACCAATGTATGAAGTCTCTGACTGTTGGTTTAAGCCATGTAGGACGATGCAGACTAGGTGGTTGGGGTCCACGGGACAAGAGGAACCAGTGGTTGGAGACCCTAGGTGATATGGCTCAGAACCGAAGTCAGTGGCGCAGATGTATACACACATTATCCTCATCTTAACAACGCTATACCGAATCTCACTATTTTGTCACTCCTCTTTCCTTTCTTCTCGTACTTTATATTTCTTTTGACTGCATTCACTTATCTTCATCCTTCACCTCACTACCTTTTTACTTGATGTGCTGATATGAGGTGTGGCAACTCGGACCGTTACGCAGTAATGCCTGGTCCTATGTTGATAATGATGATGATTACTATTGTCGACATTTCTAATTTTTACTTTTGTATCACTGTTTTATAGATAACCAAAAATCGGACATTCCATCAAAAATGTGAGTTGAACTGTGTAATTTTCGTAGTTTTGTTCCTTCACTGTCGATTCAGTTAGTCTGTTAATAATTTCTTCAGAAGTAGTATTCATCATGGACGGACATCAGTTGGGGAACCATTGAAAATCTGGGAGCACTGGACAGCTGTTTCGTCCTAGTATGGGACTCCTCAGCAGTACGCACCCACGACCCGGCTAGGGGTCGAACTCAGGACCTTCAGGTTTCACGGCGAACGCGTTAACCATTCAGTCACTGGATCGGTTTCCAGTGGTTCACAATTTCCAACTTCTGTCGATTCACGACATAGCGCGACTGTCACCCAAGGTCTTGAGTTAGCATCCACTTCACTTCCGACTGGTTGACCCCACAGGTCACGGCTTCTCATTAGAACTTCCTAACATCTCAAAAATAATTTCTTCGTTCGCTTAAACTGATTTGACCTTACTGGAAAACAAAGACTACTACCTGCCATCTTACTCCAAGATTAATAAGTCAATCAAACCTGTTATTTGAGAATGGAATTTCTGAAAAAGAATCAAACTGTCAGTTTTCACTTTGCAAATGTATCTCTGAATAGCCTTTTGATAAATAACATCCTTGAAAAGGAAAATTTTCGTAACTCAGTTGTGTCTTCTTTTGTTAGTGCGTACATTCCGATATTAATTATTTCTGTCATAAAAGATCGAACATTTTCACTAGTCTACGTTTTGTAGCACTTTACGTAATTTTGAAGTCAGTCATGTGTTTGTTCTATCAAATGTGTTCATTACTTGTTGCAAACTAGCAAAGTCTTACAGGTCTGTGTACTAGACTACGAGTTATGCCTAATATGTTGTTGTAGCTAGTGATACTAGTTTATGACTCAGGCACTTTACTGAACATCAACAATTTATGCCTATCATTTGTTTGAAACGACAGTTTACCAGCTATACTTTAGGGTTGTATACCCCACTTTCACGATATTGATTCATTTTAACACATGAATGGAATAGTGCGGTAATCCACTTCACATTTTATAGTTATATGAAAGGTGTGCGTTTGTTAAGGCGAAGAGGGTTTCATGTTCTATCTAGAGGGATGTTTCGCATTGTTTATAACTACCATTTTCATCATGTGTGGGAGAAGTGTACATTTACAGATATCGAAATACTGCTACCATGTGTGTTTGTTGTACTCAACAGATGTATAGAATAAACTTTATACCGTATATATATATATATATATATATATATATATATATATATATATATATATATATATATATATATATATATATATATATATATATATATCCGAAAAGCTTGTGTTAAGGAAGGTAGTTTACTCATGGACGCACTAAACTATGAGTGAAATTAGTCATCCTTCTTGTGTAGATAGGTCAAATGAGTTACGATGGAACTCAAGCGATCTATTCGACTCCATAATACTATTTTCATTTTTAGTTTGCGTTGGATTTCATTGCATATCATTGTGTCTGGTTTTATCTTTTTGTATTCAGTTCTTCCCCATTGGATAAAAATTCTAAAACGAAGACTGATGGAGAAACTAGGGATTCACCTAAAATTTCATCTCACTCAAAACTGAAACCACCAGTTAGTACTAAAACCAAGCCCCGCGCTAAAAAGGTTCAACAAAATGCAACCAAGAGTTCTAAAACTAGCAAAGAGTCTCTGAAAGAAATTGAAGCAACTATCCGCAGCAAGTGCATATCAGCTATACAGAGGAGAACAGCATTGGAACAACGTCTTCGCGAGGCCTATGAAAAGACTGATCTGTGTAAAAGAGATAAGGAAATCGAAGTGAGTTTTTTCAAGAAGAAATTGTCGCAATCATGATTTTCGTTGACTTATAACCCACTTATACGCTACTGCCTTCTTATACAGAAAGTCTGGAAAACTCTACTTAAGTAACTAACCACTAATGTAGCCAACCTTACTTACCACTTCATTCGTATTCGTCAAGCTGATCAGTCACGAGGCATCACTTCACACTTCACTAATGAAATGCATGTTACTCATCTCAAGGCAAGATTGTGTAGTTTTCTTGTTGTAGACAGACAAAAATAACTTGAACAGGTGATTAGTCATCAAAGAGGTAGAGAGTAGGGCCCATCTTCAAAATATTGTCTGCGATAAATAGGATTGAAAAGGAGAGGTGGAAATGTATCTCTGCAGTGTTAGTCACAACTTTTTTTGCGATTGTTGTGATACGTTCGGGTGCAAAAGAGACCAGACAACGTGTAAAATGAAACACCGTAAATTCATGAATGAACTGTTCAGGGTTTGTAAAAACAAGAAACACAAAGACAAAATTCATTTTACGATATTTGATGAACACGTAGAGATTTGATGAAGTCACTCACCAACAACGGTTTGTGATTTATATTGCATGCTGCTTCATTATTTTGTAAACTTAGTTTTTATTCCTAAAACAGCTGAACAAGATAAATGCATCTCCCAGCATCAACGTGCAAACGATATCACTTTGTAACAGTCCAAGTTGCCACACCTCGTCAGCACATCAAGTGAGAATGTACCAAGGATGAAGGATGGAGAAAAACGAAGAGGATAATCAAAATTGGTAGAAAGTCTCGAAAAGAGAATAATAAGGAACTATACTGATGTAATTCGGCAAAGCATTAAGATGAAGATAGTGTATGGATGCGTCTGGGCGTTTACGATCGATTCTGAGCCATATAACATACCATCGAGTTAAGTTGTTACCTGGAGCCCAAATGAGAAGTCTACATTCTCCAACGTGTCTCAAACCAGCAGTCAGAGACTTCATGGACTGGTGTGACGTTTTAGTCTGGCTGTCACCAAACTTTTCCCAGTCACTGAAGCCAGTAAATTTTTATAATCACATCCACTGGTTGAGCTCTTTTACCTGAGACTCTGCACCTTACTTTCCGGTTACTGGCGTAGAAATTTCCGGACAATACGATCAATGCAGCAGTGGTTCAGCACTTAAAGCCTTCTGATTTTTACTTTTAATGCCCATGTTTCAAAGTCATATAGTTGGACAGCACGCGGTGTGTTGGCAACTTATTGATATGTATGCATGTAGTGAAATAGTCTATAATTTTATGACCCATCCTGTCTAGTTTCCCCTGTTTTACCGCTTGCGAGTTTCACTTAGCGGCCTAATGACTATAAAACCTAAAATCTCAGACATTATGTTTATGAGACTAATTTCCCTGTGGTTATCATGAGAGGATTTTTCTCTTCTCTTGAAGACTGGAACAATTAGTGGTTGAGACCAGTCAGAGGGATCATACCTAGTTTTCATACGTTAGCCAACACTTCAGTTAACCTGACCAATAATCTGCAGCTCTCCATCCTTAAATACCTATGGTACCAGCATATTAGGGGCTCCTATCCTATCTCGTCTTGGATTACTTACAGCCTTCTCGATTTCTGCAGGTATTAAAGGACCTGTCTAGGTGCTCCATTTAGGATTCGAGTAAATAGTAAACAAACAAAAAGTATGTGGGGGCCAACTGAACGTTTCCTTGAAGTGTTTTGTTCATGTTTCCAGTTGTTTCTCGAATGAATGACATATCCATTCTTCTGCGCTATAGTCGCACAAATCTTCGGCTTTTTTATCACTTTCTTGGGTCGGTTCAAATAACTATCTACTCTTACCTATTGCTGCTGCTTCTTCCATCTTCCTAGCCTTCACTGCCCGCCATTGTTCATGGTAGACTTTGTCGGTTTACATTTGAGTTATCCCACTCCTTGTTGTGTTTGTCGACGTGGATTCATTATTTCTGAAGAACCTGCTGAAATTCACTGACGCTTTATAAGCTCTTTCTGAGAGTCGCTTACGGTCCTTAACTTTGTTTTACTGCATTCTAGAGATGATGCCTGGTTTCTTCTGAATGATTACTCTTTTGCGTTGAATGTCTAGCCAGTTTCTAGCAGAAAGCATCTTTAGTATTCTCGTTATCGAGTGGCAGTCGCAATGGTCTTGTTGCTGTAGCTTTAAAACCCCCATTTGGGAGCGGAAATACACATGTTTGAACCAACGCGTGGTCACTGTGCAGACACATGCTCCAGAAGGAGTGGCAGCCTTCCACCAACCGTTTCCAGCAATAACTGATAGCCACTACCTATGTATCCACTGCTTAGTTAAAATCGGTGGACACCACTTCGGAAAATGTCTCTCTTTTCGTCTGAAGTTCGTGCTGCTCATGAGTAGATGGTTGTCTACGCACAATTGTAGCAGGTGATTGCTATTGTTTGCTCTCTTGGCTTGGATTCCAATAGTTCCACCTAAGTCCCTATCTGCTTGGTTCGGCCCACCTACTTGTGCATTGAAATCGCCTACTATGATAACCACATGTGAATGCTTGGTTTTCAGTAGGAGGGTAGATAGTTTTCTTTGGTTGTCACTGTTCTTTTAGGCCCTTATTGCACCTTTCAGACAAACAGCGCAAGCACAACCGTCAACAGGGATCCATTTGAGCAAAACCCCTTCTGCCTTCGGACTTACTTTTATAGCGACACCTGCAACAATTAGACATTGAATCTCCAGAACCTCAAAGGGTGAATTTTTTTAAGATTCCAAATAATGGCCAGATTAAGGTTAAGTGAAAAACTACACGTGATTCCTGTATATGTGTCTCAACAATGCAGTACATTTCCATGGCTTGAAGACGTACATACTTGAATGCGTTTGGTATTTGTGTCGAAATGCACTTCGGGAGTCATTCAATATTTAACGCTTTACTCAAAACCATTTCTGAAGTTATGAGAAAGAGAAAGAATTAAAGTATTTTGCGTCGTGATAGTCATAGGGTAGCTTTCAGTTAGTGGTAGTATTGACTTGCTGTTTTAAAGTCTGGCATTCAGTGTTTATTAACTCCAGATATAACTTCTTTTTGATGTCAAACAAATAGCTGTCGAGCGATGGTAAATTGATATCATATGGATCCAAAAGAATGACACCACTTGGTATTGGACACTTAGATTAATATTCATCATGGACTGACATCACTTGGAAGCACATTGGAAACCTGGGAGCAGCTGTTTGGTCCTCGTATAGGACTCCTCAATAGTGCGCACCCATGATCCCTCCATGGACCGAATCCAGCACATTCAGTCCCATGATCGGCACGTTACCGTTGAGCCACAAAGTCGGGATCCGACGGTCCACATCCCCAACTTATGTCAGTTCACGGCGTAGCGTGGCCATAACCCAGTGTCATCGTTGAGTATTTGTCCTCACGGCCACCATGTTTGCCTCTGGTGGGGTAGTGGGTACTCACCTCTGGGGAGTCCCGTACCAGGACCAAACAGCTATCAAGTGCTCTCAGGTTCCCAATGCTCCTCCAACTGATGTCAGTCTATGATGAATACCAACTTGAAAAACCACTAAATCCCCACAAACTCTCAAATTAAACTTAGATATTAACTCAAAAACTGGTTCCTAAGTTTAGTAATTCGTTTCCGAACCCAATTACTACTAGCAAGTGAGAAAACGATAAAAGTGAGAAACTGGTTGGGTCTATTCTCACTCATAAATGTTGGTCCGCAGGTCAAAAATTTCTGAGTATATTCATATGGGTTTTGGTTGGTTGATCTTGTGGATCGATCATCTACTTAGTGAGTTTGTAGATCCGAGATTTGAAATACTGTTATTATTATAATTATAATTTGTCCCTTGGGTTCCTAGTGGAACATAGGGCTTCAGTAGTATGTCTCCACTGTGGTCTCTGCAATCATTTGAACTTGGCTCCACGACAGCCCAGAAGCTCTCGTTTCTTCCTTACACCGTCTCCTCTATGTCACCTTTGCCTCGGACGCCTAACTCGTCGCTTCCCGTCCGGGTTCCACTCGAGGGCCTGGTCTGTCGCATGATGTGTCCAGTTGGCCTTCTCAGTGTATGCCCAATCCATCTCCATTTTATTCTGCATATTTGTTGAGTGATAGGTTCCTGGTTGGTCCGTTGGCCGGCCAGAGTGAGTTCCTTGTTGCTTATTCTTTCTGACCATCAGAGCTTCAGTAACGAGCCAGCGTAGACAGTTGTTGATGAATGTCTGTAGTTTGTTGGAAATCCCTTTCGTAACGCGCCAGGTCTGTGGACCATATAGAAGCACTGACTAGACATTGGTGTTGAAAATCCGGATGTTGTTCACGCTTTATGCTGAGTGCGGAAGATCTCCACAGTAGTTTCAGGTTAATGGATGCCTGTCTTGCCTTTCCGATCCTGACTATGATGTCCTTGTTTGTGCTGCCACCTGTAGTTGAGATGGTGATGCCTAGATAAGTGAAAGAGGTTACTTCCTCTAAGTTTCTCCCGTTGATGGTGGTTGGAGCTTGTTGTTGTTGGTTGGGTATCTTCATCACCTCTGTCTTCTCCACGTTCACCTGAAGTCCCGTCTTCGCTGCCTCGCCCATTCTGTCAATTTGTTGGTTTTCGCCTGTAGATCTTCAAGTTTGTGTGACATTAGACACAAGTCATCGGCGAAATCTAAATCTCCTAGGATCTTTTCCCCATCCAGCCAGCGTATCCCGTCTTCTCGCTCCTCACTGTTTGGTGCATGATTTAGTCTACCACAGTCAGGAATATCATGAGTGATAGTAGACAGCCTTGTTTTACTCCTGTCTTTACTTCAAAAGCATCACTGAGCTTCCCATTGTGAATTACTTGGCATGTGGCGTCGTCATATAGTTGTTGAATGCGATTGATAAAGGCTTGTGGTATTCCGTAGTGTTGAAGCAGCTGCCTGCCAAATTACTTGTCGGTCGATGCTGTCAAAGGCCTCCTCATAGTCGATGAAGTTGAGGTTGGGTTGAGTTGACTGCCGTTCTGTACTCTGTTCTATGATGATGCGAAGCGTTGCAATTTGATCCACACATGATTTGTTCTTCCTGAAGCCAGCCAGCCTGTTCCGGTCGTAGTTTTGAATCCAGCGCATTTTCTAGTATCTCCAGGATGACACGGCTTATTACTTTGCTTAGGGTGGACAGGAGCATGATTCCGCGCCAGCTCTTGCAAAGACCTAGGTCACCCCTCTTTGAGAATTTGACAAGGTAGCCCTTCTTCCAATCTGCAGGTACCTTTCCTTCCTTCCCTGCAGACCTTCTGCAGTAGTGGTGTGGTGTGAACATGTCCGCTGTTGTCTCTGAGTCTGTTTTCAGTGCTTGTGGTGGGATTTCATCTGGTCCTACTGCTTTCCCGGACTTCAGCAACTCTATGGCGTTCACGACTTTGACTTTTGTCGGAGGGATTGTGTTCACTGGTGATTCTGAGGTTGCCGGTGATATTTCTGGACGAGTTTCAGATGGTGATCGATTCAAGAGTTTTTGAAGTGGTTAACCCATTGTTTCCTTTGTTTATCCTCTTTGGTAACTAGCTTTCCTTCACTATCTGTCATTGGTTTCATCTGCATTGATCTCTTGCCAGATAGTTACCTGGTTATTTGATATAATGTTACCAGGTCTCTCCTGCTTGCAGTCTGTTCTGCTTTACTTGCCAATTAGACGTGAAAGTGTCTTTTGTCTTTCTGTGCACTCTTCTTCACTTCTTTGTCCAGTGTTTTGTACGTTGTACTCAGTTGCTCTTCTCGTCGTTCATGCTTGCACTGGCTTATCTTCTGCTTCACTATTACCATCTTCCTCTCCCTGCTGTATCAGCTTCCATGTGTCCGTCGAGATCCATTCCTTATCTTCTTTCTTCTTCCTTCCTAATAAGCTTATACGGGTTTCTTCCCACGTTGTGACTTTCCTTCCTTTTGAGTTGAACCTTGCTGTTATGATCCTGGAGGAGATTGGTTCCTACTGCATGAGACAGAGCCTTCAATGCGGTTGGTGACATCATGATAGCCACTTCCTCATTGTGCTCATGGTTGTCGTCTGGGTGATCGGAGTAGATTATTGACTCTCCAGTTGACAGTTTGGATAGTCCACTTCCATTCCATCTGCAGATTCCCAGCTCTTCAGTTCTATACCTTCTCATCTCGTTTGCAATCTGGGCAGCCTTGGTAGGTTCAAACATGGTGCGGACATTCCATGTCCCCACGTTTACTTTCGCTTTCATCGAGAGAAGATACATGGGGGAATTGGCTTCCCGAAGGCTTTCACCATCCGGCGTCATTTCGTCTCCCCGATTCCAGTGAGGAATAAGTTTGTTTTTATGTTTTATATTTTGTCTGTACTTTGAAGTTTCTTTAGCGGTTAGACTTGTTTCACGGGGTAGGGTTGCTAGCTTTATGACCAACCTTCCCTCTTTACCCGGGCTTAGGACCGGCTAGTAACTAGTGAACTAGTTAACCAGGCGAGGTTTTGAAGTACTATAGAATTTTAAATTTTCTGGAACGTTTTTTTTTGGAAATGTGATTAGTTTTCTGGCATTTTTAGGTTGTATTTTCGGTAAATAGTAGCATTTCCCAACACAAATAAAGCATGACACTTCAAAGCCTGTCTATATTTTGTTCAATGTGATTAATTATTTTTGCGATCACCTATTGGTCTTGGCGATATTTTTCATTTTTCGTATTTTTGTTTTTCTTCAATGACAGGATATTAAAATCGATTTGTGTGCACTGGTTGATGAACTGTTCAATGATGAATTGTTGCGAAAATGGATACCTGTTTCCGTAGGATCTATCTAGTTTATTTTATGTTACTTTCTCTGCGCATTTCTTTGGTGTGTATATGTATTGATATTATGTATATTGTAAATAATAAGGTGAATAAAGTCGTCATTCACATACATACACCTGGATTTATTTTTCCTAGTGGTTTATCGATGAAGTATTGTTCTTTGTGTGTTTGTCTGTTATGGAACTGTGACTCTTTTGACCAAGCGCTTAAACTGTAACCACTAGCTCACACGTTTGAATTCTGCGCCTTCTTATCGAAGTTTGTACAGTCAGATAGCATCATCAGTTCTCACTCAGTATACATGATTCTATTTTTGAGTGCACAGGGCTGTACGTATTTGTTGAATTGCATCACTGTTGTCTCTTTCTGTAAAGTGGGGCATATTTCTCATCTGAGAATTGTTTTGTAGATGTACTTGCGTTAGGAGTTGCTCGTTTTCCTACTGACTGTCGGTTGTACCACAACCGTCATCTTACACCTCAGTGTTTACCAATCAAGTGGAGAGTTTGTGATAGTTACTTGTTCTGGGCTTTTACTTTCCCCATTTTATTGATGGTTTAATCCGTCGAATTGGTCAGTCTGTGTTGTGAACTTTTTTGTCTAAGTGATGAAACTAGATTTAAACCTTCGAAAGAACACAAATATTCAGTGGTATGCCCCAGCTAAGTAACCTCGAATAATGTTAGACGTATGCCCTCACTCCTTCAGCACTAATTGCCATCAGATAGTACTAGGAACTAATTCACAGCAAGAAGAGCTGTGAATTAGAAGCTTATGTGTCAACATGTGGCAGTTATCATGGTGTAATGACTAGACCACAGAAGCAATGTGTCCAAATGCCTTCATCCAAGAATCCATAATTAGTGTCTATCAATTTAATCTTAGTTCAATTAACCTAAATTATGACTTCGTGCTTCGCTATGTGCATAAAATTGGGGTTTTCATATTTATGAGGCACGCACGTTGACTTGTTCACTTTCTGCTGAATTGCGTACAGTCGACTTGAAACGGTATCATATATGAGTTGCTTCAACAGTCAAGGGATTCGAGAGCATTTGGCTTTTACACTCACAATAACACGCTTAAGTGCCGTCGATCACTCTGGAAAAGCAGTAGTAACTCAAAAATCACTTCACACATTGTAATCAAGTGAAGTGGCGGTTGTGACAGTTCGGATGCAAACGTATTGCATGTTGCATACACGGTTGTCAGAATTCACTGGATTTGCAGTGCATTTGTTTTGAAGTGTGTATATGGAACCATAAGAATGGATGCTGAATTCATATTTTGTAGTAACCATAGTTAAAGATATGTAATAACCCATACAACAATGTTCTTTGGTTTAATAACCAGTCTTATATGGCACACTTAATAGATTTTCTTTTGAAGTTGTCAGTCCGCAAAATGAGTGGGGTTAAATTTTGGCGTAATATTTTTCAAATGGTCATTTTTTTAATACAGCATGCAAAATAGGGTAAGATGAGGATCTTCCATGGTCTTAAATAGGATATAGATAGAAGTGGTTTCATATCTTAGTAGTGGCATCCTCATTAAGGCACTAAGCGTACCTTTTTTGTGTTAATTGCTGATCTTTTAGTGAGGTTGACTGAGTAAGCGCTGATCGATTCATTGGGCAGTGATATCACTTGCTACCAACTAACGATTCAAAAGTTTTTGACTTATTTTAGTTCGAGTGTCGATAATCAAGACTTCATTTTTGAAAGAGCACGAAATGGCAGCAAAAGTGCTGAATTAATCTGACGAGATTTAAGAAAGATAGATTAGTTGCATTCTGCTTGCTCCTGGAACTTACCGGCTACCCACACTTTGGAATTGGCTTATGTAAAGCATCTGAAAGAGAAAAGGGATCACCATCTTCAGGAACAATTGTTCCGGACGACATAGCCCATCGAGTCATTGAGATATCCAAACATGACCACCATCCTAAGGTATCGTCTGTTAGTTGGCGTTCGGAGCAGCTATCAAATAAGTCATTTACTTATGAAGTTATGAGTTACTGACATACATACATAATTGTCTTTCAGTCTGTATGTCATAGTTTTCAACTCACTATGTTTACCGAAGTTTCGGTAATCAGACAGAATCGTGGGTGACCGATAGGTCAATGCATAAATCTACATACTTTCACTGTGTTGCGTTCTTTTCTTAACTAATCTTACCGAAGGGTATTCAGAGTTTGTTGAATATGCAGTAAATTAATTATTTAGTCTTCTCCGATTTTGGGGTCTGTTGTTGAACGCTTCATCACTAGGTTAGATGACTTCAGATTAATTTCATTGAAATATAGAACACGCCATAGTTTGTTTCGTGTTTTTCGTCACCTATCCTACTTTCAATTGAAACCAATCAATACTGAAGGTCAAAGTAATCCTGATATTCTGTCGCCGTGTATTTTCGTAAATAAACCAATGATCAGAAACCGGTACTGTTGCTAGCATGATTACGATTCGGGATGTAAAATTATCAGGTAATTGTGGATTCAACACTTTTTTTACTGTTCATCTAACAAAAAATTTTTGAATTTCAGTAAAGAAGATGAAGCGTTGGCAGCTAGAAGCTGTGCGAATTACCATTTATCTTGGAGTACCACTTTTTATGTATGGTGTTAGTGGCATGCCAAAGGTGCAAGAGTATGTTTATAATAGTGTGAGAGCAGACCACCTGGAGAGAAGGGGGTAAGTTAAGGTATAATTTAGTATAATTTTTGAAGTACGAATCTGTAGCTCTGGTTCATGATAGTGTAAGCAGTTGACTTACTCTTAGTCTGTCACCAGTTTGATCACACACCTATCGATATCTGACCAACTCGGTGTTATCATCCTTTCATAGAGTGGTAAGCGTACATATACATAGCTTTGGATTTGCCTTATTTTATATCTGATGCCTAAAATGTGAATGGAATTAGGTAGAACGGAGTTAATACCTGAGAGAGCCACATTAGTGTATTATCTTGAATGGGGTCAGTGTTATTCTCAAGCTGTACAAATGCATATAAGTTATTGTATTTACTTAGCAACATAAAGGAATGTTTCATAAATTGTCTTAATAAAATTCAGTTTTGATTTCAGCTCAGATCTGTTAGGGAATTATGTAATGTGAAGCGTGGTAATCACAAGGATATTTGTCAAGACCTATGTCATAATAACTTACTGAGGTGAATGATTTCGTATGGTTATACGAATCGAAGGGAAGTTGTGTACCATTGGTCAACGCACTGGACTTTCAACTAGTGGGTCGTAATTGAGAATGTCGCTCCACCCATCGAGTTTTAGGCAGCCAGATTGCATTGTCAGTTTTCATCCAATGTGTGTTGCACGTTGCCTAGTGCATGTTATTGCAAAATGGCTACTGAGTTAAATCACATTATATTTATAAAAATTGAATCCAGCCTAGAAGAAGGATCAGTCTTAACTGTAAGGTTATAAGTATCCTTAACTTCATGTGAACACGTGAGTCGATAAACACGTATTGAGATGACCTTAACCATCGCATAGCCTCGGAAATTCGGGCAGGTGAAGTAAATCAGAATAAACCGTCTTTCTAAGTGTGATAAGTGATTTCTTAGTATTCCTAGCGATGAATCTGCATGGGATCGCTAAGTCTTGAAGAGTAATATTTTAGATAGCAGAGGAGTATAAAATAATTATCTGATCTCAACTTCATATTTTGTTGTCATTAAGCGTCCATAATACTCGTTTTGAATCAAAACATGTAAAAGGAGTTTCATCTTACAAATTATCACGACTACAAGTGACTTCAATGACACAATGAACTTATCCGACTTCGCTTCATACCTTCCGACATCCAACGATAGCAATTTTAAAAGTATCTATCTGCTCTATGTGGGTTCTGTGTTGATAGAACTTTCTACTGTCCCATCATTTAGTCTTGTTAGTTGTGCATGTGAGATAGATATCATAGAAGGAAAACTTAGCGTTCAGCTTCTTTCAGGACATTCGTTACAACTATGGCCTAGATATTTATAACCTGGAAACCATTCTTCTTTAGTGACAGTTGACACAGAAAATTTTCTTGATAAGCTATATCACCGAAGTTTATGAAGATCCCATGTAAATATTTGCTATATAGTTCCAATTCGGCGATCATATTACTGAGTTGTACATCTTTTAGCTTCACTATGAAGATGCCTGCAAGGAACAAGCCAAACAAAAAACTCATAACTGTGCTATACTTTTGGATCTATATTCCATTATTGAAACAAAATTAAGTATATTATGTTCTGTATTGATGGGAGTTGCCTACGTAAGCCATTCGATTCTGAATCTGACTGGTTGCTGGACCTGTGGGCTTTAGGACCTAATGATTCTGGGTTCAACTACCAATAAGGTTGTTGTGAGTGCTCATTTTGGAGAAGACTCAAACTGGGACAATAAAGCTACTTAGTGCTCCCTAATTTTACAATAGTTTTGTAGCTGGTTTTGATTTCTGTTGAACATTCTGTATGAATAATTCGATCTGGGTTAACATTTCCCAAGCTTCACTAGTTTATTCCAGTACTAAACTGAGGTTTTTAGCAGGATATCTGCTAGAAAGTACTCAGTTAATATCTGCTACTCAGTGTAATGAAGTTATAGCATATTTTGTTGTTTGATAATAGTACCTTAGTGGCCCAGTGGACAATGCTTTATTGTTTGGAACGATGGATACTTGATTCAAGTCTTGGTGGGAATGACATCATCCACTTGGGTGCTGGCATATCCAGCAAACGAGTCCCAAATAGGACGAAACGGGCATAGCATAAGACTTGAAATAATGTATATACGACTGAAGTTTTAATTACCAATACAGTGAAGGTATACAACTGTATCTTTTTGAATGTGTATATTACATGAGTACCATTTAGAAATGTGTGGTTATCCCTCGTATTACAAACGGAAACTTTACATCTATGTATTGTTTTCTGGAGTTGATGCACACTGAGTATCACCATTGCAATTAGGTATGTTCACATGCTTTGCTAATTTGTTAGATATGATGTACCATCTCTCTGATATTTAAAACACCTGGTTAACCTAAATATTCATGTAATAAATATCCTCTGCTTTCAAATACATTCAAGTATATATCTGATATGCCTATAACTGATTATTTACTTTTTTTGATTGATTTATTTTGAAGTACGATATAGGTGAATATGGTGTAAGACGTCCCACAAAGCCGCTTGAATAGATAAAAATATGATTTGTTTACTTGGATTTTTCTTTTTTATCACCTCTCAATTTACTAATGCCTTTTAGAATGTTTTCAGTAATTCTCATTCATTACCTTTTACCCAATTGAATGGCATTAAACTTACATTACAACAAGATCACATTGTTCCGGTTGAAAATACCTTATGGTTATGTATTGTTATTAACATTTTATCAGATTAGGCCTCTGTATTAAAAAATATACGTACTGATAATTAGGTAAATGTAGTTCCTTTCTTTAGAGATGTCTTTCATTGAATTATTACAGATGTCTTTCGGCGTTGAACTCTTTTTAAAATGAGCGCATCATCTAAGTTCATTATTAGTTAGATTAATGTGCTGGTAAATATTCTCAGTATAGGTCGTTGATTTTTTCGTAGTTCTAGTATTTTCTTGTTTAAAGGGAATATATAAAATTGAATTCAGTTTTTCAAGGTCAGCTCATTGGAAGGAACTTCATTGCCTAAATAAAAATAAAAAACTCAAAAAATATCTCAACTGTATAGATAGATGAAGATTAGTGCTGGAATATGGTGGAAAACAATTTTCATTAACACACCAACCAGGTAGAAAAGTAGTGTGTTGATCACTACCCTATTTGCTAGTTTAATCGTCCCTATAAATATAAATGGAGGATATGGCGACTTTAGTGCTCTTGAATATGCTCTGAAGGTGACATTTTAAGTGACTTCGAAAGCTCTGCCTGTAAGGATTGAAGCTGGAAGTACACTAACTTTGGACAAATGTTAGTCTAAATCTAAAGGTTGGCTAATTGTGAGAGTTTTGAAAAATTAGTACCAAAGGAGGATGGTTTTCACAATCATAATTTTCTCTAGAGGTTATACGTAAACGAAGTCATTTCAAAAGACATACTGATATTAATTATTTACCGGATGAGTTAAAGTTTGTACAATATAAACGTGGAATCACTTAAGTCATAAAAATGTCAAAACAATGCAACTTTAATTCATTCTTTAAGGTACAAGTTTTCTTGCCGGATTTCCTTCCTAACTGATACTCCGTTAATAACTGTGATGTAATATTTCATACTGTCCAGTTAGAAACTGAAGTTAAACGCTTTGATGTTATAACAAGCATAATTTTAAACTTCGATTTTGGATGCAAAAATCAAAGTTGAATTCAATGACTTCAGAACTCAAAGAATGAAATAATTTGAATATTTCAGTACCTGACATTGTTAAGAGGTCAGCGAAAGTTGCGTCAGATCCCAACTGCTATCCATAGCTCCAACAGTTTACTCCTATAATAGGCAAAAGAATTTGTGGATAGAATGAATGGAAATGTAATCGATTATCTTCTGTCTCAGAAAGTATCTAGCGTTAAATTTGATTTCAGAATAACTGAATTATGCTTTAAACAATTGCTCATATGATTTAGTATCCATCATTATGGAAAGAATAGAAAAAAGGAAAGTAGGTTGACTTTTAATGTCACAGTTAATCGATAATATTTCCACACTAAGAAAGAATATCTAGAGACTTAGTTAAGAATAAAGTGTATGAAAAGTTATTCTATGTTGAAAAAGTAGTTATTTCTAATACTTTAGTGAAAGAAAGGTAATCTGGTGGTAGATTAGGATATTTCTTAGAGAAAATATTTCCTAACCTATTCATACACTTCATGAAGTGACTTTTTCATTTCAGCCGACTTTTCTGATTCAATAAATAAAGTTACCGTATCGAGCTAGTAGATAATTTCTGTGGATGTGACTTTTCTGTTTACTAACATTCTCTTAGCGTGAACTACTTGCATCTTTTACTAGTTTTTTAATGACATTAATTTTGACATCAGTTTTTCAAGTGTTATTTAGGGGAACTACTTGTGAGATGCTCTTTCAATGCTCATCAATGAGTTGAATAGACAAAAAGGTGAAGTGACTCTGGGGTCACCACTTAGCCTTCTGGTTTTTAGATTGATTATTTATGGTTAACACACAGAACATTGTGCTACAATCTTGAATCGTTAGCCTCCAGCTAACTCAATGATCTATAAGTGTTATATTCGTCAAGGTGAATCAAAATAAAGATATTGAAGTTCTTGTTTACACGTATTTAGGAATTACCATTCATCTGTTAACTTCATCTTGTAATCCGAAACAACTTCGGAATTGCATTTTACGGATGGGATTTATATAAAAGATAGTTTATAGTTGTGTGGATGGGTTTCGACAGATACTTATGCATGATGGATTTCCATCTGGCTTTATGTAGAAGATAAACTTGAAGGCTAAGTAACATACTAAGAAGATTCATACACTCCCCTTCCTTATACATGTTGGTTTATTGTTTGATACTGCTGCAGAGACCCCAAAGAACCGCCTGTTCAGATCATCACGCATAATATTATTATCTCTTGCAATCGCAAATGATTCTCATGCGTTCGTTATGCTTCGAGACAGTCAGTAAGAAACCATACACTTAGATTTCTTGATTTTCGCACCTGTCAGTAACCTCGAGAGTCTGATGCCGTTTCAGATATCCTGACTAACGTTGGCCTTTACTGCACCATGTTAGTGGGTCTCTAAGCTTTGTGGATCATATTACAGAACTGATGGATGTAATTCGATTGGCACTTAGGACTAGACAATAGGATGCCGGTTACTCTCTAGTAACGAATCAGTGTTTCTAATCTAGCTATATAAGAAGTCAACGACAGTTCGAATAGCTCAGTAGTAGCATATCCAACTGCATCACTGTGTGATGCCTGTTCATGTCCCCTCGAGACCGAGGGTACTTGAGTGAGCATATGCTTTTATCTCCAGTGCTAAGAAGTACGTAACTTAGCTCCAAAACGTCTTGTCGATTACGTAAAGTCAGTCGAGGGGCATTAGTTTGGTGTGCATCTTCTCATTTGATGACCAAATAGCTCATTTGGCCGACAGAGTTCACTCAACAATTGCGTAGCGTGTCATTGGCTGTTCTTCAAGAATCAACCCATGATTCTTAGGTATGTTCAGAATAAGCTTCTGATTTTAACCATTTTAATATGTGCTTAAAAGAGTACCTAAGCTATTTGTAAATGCTGTGGAAATTGTAAATTTTTGGAACGCATCTCCGTTCACTATCCTGCTGATTACAAAAAACAAGTCAGTTTGAAGCCTGAGCATTTGTCTTTACATAGATTTACCATATTCATCTTTCAAGATTATTTCTGAATTCCAAGCAAGCGGGTAGTGATGAGAACAATATCGGAAATTTTGCATCATAGAAGCACTGGAAAGTCATCACTCTATTTATCGAAGAATTATATACAATCTATCATCTTAACATGCTTCTAATCTTCCATTTCCACAACTTTCAAGGAAACAATCAATCCTTCAACTTTATATCTAGTTTTCATTTTGTCGAATTCCATACGTTTCTTATTATTTTCATATATATATATATATATATATATATATATATATATATATATATATATATATGTATATATATATTGCACAATCAATTTGTGTTATTGAAAGCCGCTTTCTATCCGAATTTTATTATTCATATGCTTGTAATAAGTATAAACAAGATTGTGTAGTTCTTGAGAAACTTTCTTCACTCACTTAGATCTTTTCCTAGGTCTGCATGTAATTAGTAATTAAAAAAAGCATCAGCAGTTTAAGGACCGGTCGATTTCAGCTAGTCACTTCACACCGTGGGATGTGACATTATTGCGTAACGGTCACATTTCATATCAGCATGCGCCAAGATAAAAGATGAAATGAATAGGAGGATGATCAAAACTCGTAGAAAGTTTTGAAAAGATAGCAAGGAGGAATGGGACTAACGAAATTCGTTATGACAATTAAGATAATATGTGGATGACACTGACAAAATCAACGTAGAACCTGGCACACGGGTGCATGAGCTCAAATTTCCACACTTCACAGTAGTGAACTAAGAACAGGTGGACAGAATAAAAGTGATTTCAAAGTAGACAAAGTTGTGCAAGGAAACAAGCAATTTGAAGATAACGGTTAGTGTGAATGTTGAAGCTTTAGGTGTCAAGGAGTGAATACTTCTGCTCCATTGTGACCAATTTTCAGCCACGTCACCAAGAGTCATCAACCACTGATTCCTTTCATCTTGTAGACCCAAACCAGGCAGTTTACATCCCGCACGACTCAGACCAACAGCAAGAGATCTCACCAACCGACACCTCCTCTTGGTTTGGCCACCCTAAACCCTGTTCCAAGTTAATCTAACTTCCCCAAGGATTGTGCAACAAGGTAGGCGGTGATTAGGTGTGGGTAACATGTCTAAGCCATCTCAGATGACGAAGGTTCTCAACCTCACCAATCTTCTTGCCTATATTGCCTAGTACCCTTCATCTGACCTCACGACTGCTCACATGGTGATTCCACCAAACAATAGGAATGCTACGAAGACATCTGTGATCAAAACGCAGTAGTCGCTTCGTGTCTTCTGCTTTGAACGACCATGTCTTATAGCCGTACAACAGAGAGAACGAACTGCAATGTAGCATACTCGTCTTTTGATAGATAGTCAGATATCTCGCCGGTCGGCGCCAGAAACGATGCCAGTTGGCGAATGCCAAATAAGCCTGTGTCGTGGATGAGATTTCGTCAGCGACCAACCTGTTAGAGGTGATGCAACTTCCGAAGTAAGCACATTAGTCGATAGATTGCACTACTTCACTTCCCATAATTTAACTGAAAATGGGTGCAGACTAGCCCTGAAGCATTGTCTTACATTTCACACGTACCAGAGAAACGCATGCCACACAAACTTAGATTTCTGCTCAAAGCGTCCAGGAGACCCTGCATTTTGTCCGCGTCTCCAGGACAGTATCGTTTGCAAACTCCAAGTCAATCAGGTAACCTCCAGGGAGTAGATTAATCCCTGTGAAGTCAGACGTAGTCATGTTCATTAGTACATTTATGACGAAGTTAGATAGGAAGGATGATAGTGTTTACCCTCGGCGAACACCACTGGTTGTCGTCAATTACATGACAAGTCTCTACATGCACTTGCACGGCTGCATGATTTACAGTAAAGAGCTTTCATTAGCGTTATTTATTTTATCGGTACTGCTTTAACAGTCAGACACTGCAACAACACCTCACAGTCGACATAGTCAAATATCACCTCCATGTCAAGAAAAATGACAAGTGCCAGCCACTGGACGGTAAGTATGCCTGTGTTCCAGAAGCT